TATCGTCAAACCAACTCCCCCCTTCATCCTCCAAGCTTCTACACCCTTCCTCACCCACCAACCCCCATCCTCACCATGCAGCTATCCCACTGCCCTGCCATCTCACAGCATTCCAGTGGGTCGTGCACACAGAGGCCTATTGTGTGTGCTGGGAGGAGGCAAAAGGCAGGATTCAGTCAGAGCTAAGATGGACTCAGTATTCTTGCTCCACATTGATACAGATCTGTAGCTGAAGTTACACTGGGATTCAGTGACATTGCCGAAACATTGTTTCACAGAGAGCTGCAGCAGATGAATGTTGCATAATTGCGCCCCAGCTCTCGGCCAATTACAGATCCTCAGCATTTGTAGGATGCTATAAATGGGGGAAGTAATTTCTGTAACATTTCTAGATTTGTCTTAATCGTCTGATCTGTGCCATCTCATTTTCTGGCTTTCTTGCATATATCTATAATTTCAGGATGGGTTGATTTTATATTTATAGGTTATTATAGACCACTCTGTTTCACACCGAAGTCTTCCTCTTATCCAAACTGGTGTTATGCAACAGCTGTAATATAGACTATCATCCTCTAAGTTAAAGCCTCTTTCAACACAACGGCTACTTCATCATTTTTTAGGTGACACAGCAACATTGACCTGACCTGACACAGCAAACTGGACAGTGTTAGTTCGGGACAGCACTATGACCCCCCTACTGTCAGAACATAAATTACTGATTCAGCTGGGAAGCTGGCTGTTGAAATTCCTGAGATGATTTTAGTGATGATCAGATTTTATAGTCAGAGAAGATGAGGACTGTGAAACAGGAGATGCCTCTGGGTGGGATAAATCTTCTACTAACTTCTGCCTTAAATGTATTTCCAGTATACCAAACACCTTATAGATGTGGAAGACAACAGCTAAGATGGTGTCTCAGAGCTTTCTTTCCTGTATGTAGAGGTTTTGACCCTGGAATTACTGTGCCTCACCTCATGACAAAGACCCCTATTCAAGCTCACTCACCTGGCCCTATCTACTGGAGAGCTACATGATAAAGGCCACACAGACATTTCATTACCATTCAGGCTCAGCTTCCCATCAGATCTTTCTGGTATTTATGTGCTATTTTGTCAGGAGTTGTGATACAGACCTATTTGGGCAAAAGATGTACAGACATGAACATAACATTTCACTGATGATTGCAGAAAAGTTAGTTCTGTTTTTAAGATTTCCTCTCATGTGAGTCACAGTAAAATTGTTTGCTTAACTGGCTCTTGTCATTGGTCTCAGTCCAAACAGACAAGTCTCTCGGAGAGTTCAGCTGTAAAGTGAACATGACATAAGGTGGTCCAAGGGTTGTGGACTAATCCAAAATCAGAGAGACTAGACCAAAACAAACAACTCCACTGTCCCGGTGTTGTGTGTCTGCAACTTTGAGTGTTTCACATCAGATGGCACTTCATTATAATCTAGAAACATAAGTAGTCATTGTTTCTCCTCACAAGGGTCAAGCTTCTTATATAAAGAATATTTTTCACATGCATTCTAGCAGTCAGGTAAGACTTAACATCTACTATTTAGTCAGTTCACAGGTTTGGGTTAGAACTCGCAGCTTACTTTACAGAGCAGTTAGAAGAAATCTGATTCATCTGCTGATTCAAAACACATCTATTTCAAGATAATCACATAATAATGTTTTGTCTTTAAAACATTTACCAATATTATATAAGAAAACAAACGTTTAAATTTGTAGGTTTGTCATGAATTAAAAAAAGAAAAATTATTTGTTCGTTTGATTTAGACAATACTATAGTTGGTATGTAGTCATTTTCCAGATGGTCATGCAGCAGAAGAAAGAGTACTATCCTTTAAAAATACATTTTTCTGTTATATATACTGTATGTGTACACCTCAACATATTTGACTTTTAGCAAATATGTCAATAGAAATGTTTTTCCAGTCAGTTTTGAGATTTCCTAATTCACTGGCACACTTTCATGTAGCCATTGCTTGACCTGTGCTCTGCTGCTTGTGGCTTTTGATTTTGATGTCACAGGGAAGGTGCATCTCTTGGCCAAGCGAGGCCCAGCAGGTCACGAGAGGAAGGAGGAACTGAGCTTATAAAAATGCCTGGGAGAATAGATGCTGCTGGATTGAGGGGAGGGAGATGAGGTTCAGATTTCAGCCTGACAGGGGGTCTGGGGGAAGGACTGGTATTTTGGAATATACGAAGATCCATACAAGGCACAGTGGACATAAAACCGCGGTGCTTGCCCTGAGGTGGTGGGTGCAGAGTGCCAGCCAGGGCCCCGCGTTGGATTCCACTACGATTTTGGAGGGTTTGACTGCATGGTGCCATAAGTCTTCGGGAACACACACTGATCACACCACTGACTGAAAGCCTGGTCTCCTCCGTCCCTCCACTTCTCACCCAAGCTCCTGCATGTCTAACATTTAGACATGTTCAGCTTTGTGGACTCAAAGACTGTTCTGCTACTTCTAGCATCCCAAGTTGTTTTATTATCTGTGGTCAGATGTCAGGAAGAGGATGACCGTAAGTTGCACAGTTTTTCTTGACTTTTTTCTTTTTACATGCAAAAACCTTGGACTGTTACTCTGCATCGCTGATTTTCAATCGGCTTCGCAAGCTTCTCTACCTGAGGTTTCAGAAGAATAGTGGAAAAAAAATCTAATGCAAATAGTGTGATGTCAAAGAAGAGCATGAAGAGCACACCTTTGTTGGACTGCGGTGTAGTTTGTTTCTTATATTTAATGCTGTTTACAGTGATGTAGTTGTTAATTGTTGTTGTTAGTGTGGATCTGTACTGTCAAACAGGCTTCAGTGGTCATTTCAAGTATGACTTCGGTGGGATAGGCGAGGCTATCAAGGCGCATCTGTATGAGAGGGACTGTCAGGTGAACAAGTGTCCATTTGTCCTCAGCTGGAACCTGCTGCTCAGCAAATCGGCTTAATGTGGATTCTTGGTGCCTTAAATGTCACCGGGTGCCTTTTTCTGCTGTTATCTAGGCAAAAAACATGGAATGATTTTTAAAAAGCCAGTCTTGAGCAAAGTGAATTTGACAGTTCTGAAGAAATGTCAACTAAAACTCCCCCACAGGGTTTGGCTGGAGCAGAGTTCATTATGTGAAGTGACAGGGTCAGAGAGTGCTCGACCCCAGACTGGCAGGCTCAAAGGGTAGCAGGAAGAGAGAGGGACTAAAGACAGCATGCACAGCAGGACATATAGTTGTTTTATTTTAGCATGGCGTTAATCCTTAAATTATAATATAAAAAAAAATAGTGGTGGACAATAGAGCAAAGGTTTGAGGTGCAACTAGCCAGACTCACATCAGATCAGGAATTAAACAGCCTTGTAACATGTATGCGCTAACTATCACTGTCACAAATATGCTTAACAAACAAGCAACAACAGTGAGGAGGCCCAGCCCTGAGCTGTGTACATGAAACAAATCACCCATTCAAACCTCCAGTGTGTTTGCACTGGCACTTTACACAGCTACGGGATCCAGATGGAGAAATTTAGAAGGACCCCCTGTTTACTTAAGGCAGCAGCTTGTCAATTGGGCACAGTATCACTGTAAGAGAGGTTCATTCATACGCACAGCAGAACAGGCCTGCAGGCTGAATGACACTGAGCCAGCGACGTGAAATGCCTCAGCTGAGGCTTCAGACACAACTATTAGCTGTGGCTCTTGGTGACATTACATTTTATGTTGCTATAAAATTCCTCATATAATAACTTGGAGCATTTTCCTCCCTACTCCATCAGTTATATGTAAAATGTGTGCTCTACAGCTACTTGTTTGTACTAGTGTATTTTTAGGTCAAACCAGCACCTGTTCAACAAGTCTTCATGCAGTCACATGTTTGTTATTGAGTTGTTTGATTACTTCTGTACTTTGAGCTACTTTCTAAAGTGTTCTGAGCTTTTAATCATTTTAATTCACTGTGATACAGGATGACTTTTCTCCTCCTCCTTCTTCCTTCTTCACCCCTCCCCTCCACCTGCTAACCACTCCTCCTCCCTTCTCTTACCCCCACACTGCTTTTACTCCTCTTACTTCCTTGCCCCTGTACATCCTCTTGTTCTCACTGCCCTATCCAACTTCATTAACATTTACTATACAGTACAAACTCACAATACTGTGTAAACCTTTCCCTGTCTAACTCTCTTTTGCACCTACCCTTCTTGTCCTTCCTGCCATGCGCCCCCTGCTAGTCACCACAGAGGAAGCAGGTGGCTGCATCTGGGACGGACAGCAGTATAATGATAAGGATGTGTGGAAGCCAGTGCTGTGTCGTATCTGTGTATGCGACAGCGGAGCGGTTCTGTGTGATGAGATAATCTGCGAGGAGATCAAAGAGTGCCCCAACCCTATCATCCCATCTGGAGAGTGCTGTCCCATCTGCCCTGCTGATGCCAGTGCCCCCATTGGTTGTAATTTATTTATTCACATACCCATAAATAAATTACTCTTTTTGTCTCCCTCCTGGCTCACACTTTGGAATAGGGAACTGCCTCAGGATCCAAGTAAACTGCCTGATCAAGGCTGCGTTTATTACTGATTATAGTCTCTAGGTGTAATTATCCCCGTTTTGCCGGCTCTAAAAGATGACACTTTTACGATCTGGTATTTGTGATAATGACTTTTCACTCAGTCAGCACCTGATGTTCCCTGTTCCAAAGTGAACCTCTATATGCTTGGTTTTTATGGAGACCAAATAAGCAACTTTATCAGGATAAAAACACTCCTGATGAAAGTCTTTTCCATGTGGGAGTGGATAGATCCTGAGAGGCGTTGCCTGGCTCTCACCTAAACCAGTAGAGGTGCCTCTGCTTATTTCAACTAATGACCAAGATGAAGCCCATGACACTGAGCCACAACTCAATGATTTATTTGACTCATTTGACTCATGTAGAGGTGGTCTGTCAAAGTAGGTTGTCTGCAGGTGATTTAACTCAGAGAGAGACCAACATTTCCCTCAACCTATTTTGCATGAAGCCTCATGTCAGGAGGATCTTGAAGGTTATATACCTTGTAAAGAGTCACTGAATTCCTGTGTGGTCTTCTGAAACCTCCTGGTATGTGACAGTTTCAAATATTTGACAGTTATCTAACATATTTCATTTATCTACTCATTAGGATGAGTATGTCATCAAATCTCATCAGGCTACAGTGACACCTGGGCATAAACACATTTCCACAAATTTTTGAAAAACATCTGGAACCAGATGCTTTTTAAAAAAAACACACATTACAACTCGCTTACTTTTTACCTACTTACAATATGTTAACATTTTCCTTTAATAATTGGATCTACATGTTCCTAATGCACGCCTGCTTCAGCTTCATTGCTCTGGTCATTAATATGATCTGGATGGGGGATTGTCTTTTGGGTTTGGTGAGTGGTATTTGATCATTTTTAGCATCATTAGATTTCGTTATGGGACTCCTTTCCTAAAAATCACAGACAGTGTTTGAATATCTTATCACTTTTAATGTTTTTCTTTCTTTTCCCTTTCATCCATCCATCTGCAACATCAGAGACAGTTGGTGCTAAGGTGAGGCTGTTTGTCATGGGAAAATACTGACACCCATGCACACTCACAACAAGCGACAACATGAAAACACCATGAGTTTGTTTGTTGTTAGGAAGGTGGCTCAGGCCACTGATGTCACCTTTTCTTTTATCAATCAGGGCCAGAAAGGCGAACCAGGAGAGATTGCAGATGTAAGTATGAATCCTCTGCAGTACATCGCACTAAAGTAAAGCTTGAAATAAATGACATTCCATTGCCATACGTTAAACTTCCCTCTAAATTGCTTCATACATAAAGTCATTATTAGCCTGGGTTAAAATTTTCCCTAAAAACTAACAAATATTTTATCTCCATTGTTAGTTTTTGGAAAAAAATATGATCTAGGCAACACTGGTGCCCATAATAATAATATTTCCCATAATAATTACCTACACATTGCACATATTTCTGAAGATTATGTTTGAATTTAGTGATATCTATGTTGACTTATAGTTGCCCAGAAAACCTAATCAATTTTTAATTTGTTGGTTATTCCACCTTTTGTTGAGTTTTCCATTGAAGAAACCTGTGACCATTAGTGTGGCTATTTGTCACATAATAATAGACTAATAGCAATGTTCAACAGTGTCTCATTGGACTTTCTATTAAATGAGGAAAAGCCCTGCATTCTTTGGACATAATGAACCCAATCAAATCCTCTTAGATCCCCAGCGCACGTCAGGTGAACAAGTTCAGCCAAAGCCGAGGTTAAAAGGAGGTGATGTTTTTAGCAAAACGTCTCCTGTCAAACGAAATGCCCATCACACAGTGTTTTTAGCTTGGTAAACATGTCCTACAAAGGTGAAATATTCTTCTCCAGGTTTACATGTTTAGAAACTGGCACAGCTGAATACAGCATGAACAGCTGGTCTTGTAATAAAGAGTCATTTCTGACAACAGCCACAGACGCTGACATAAGCTTTCTGTTTACCTGAGCAGGTTGTAGGACCAAGAGGACCACCAGGCCCTATGGTAACATTTTGACTTTTTAATTCATTTTATTGAGACTGATTAAAAAAAAAAAAAAAAAGATAAAGAAAAAATGTTTAGTTTATGCTCATTCTAGATTTATTTAAGCAATGTTCAGTAAGGTTGTTTATCAATGCACAATAATATGATCCTTGCTCTGAATGGCTGTAACCATCCTGTGAAACCTACTGTGAAAAATATGCTTGGTTTTTCAGGGGCCCCCAGGTGAACAGGGACCACGCGGAGAAGCTGGTGCTAAGGGTGATAAGGTGAGAGAGCGAGTGGACAAAAACCACCCTCCACTGCAGTGCAGCATTCAGAAGCAATTCTCTCACATTTGTCTTACTGTGATCTCAAAAGGCCACAAGATATTAGGTCAAGCAACAGCAGCTTAGATCATCGTTATGATTGAACCGGAACAGTGTTCTGTATAGTTTAGGACTGGTGTATTACTCAAGTGGGGAAACATCCAGATCTATTCATCCATCAGATATGAGACTTCCTCTGTAAATGTGTTGTTAAAAAAGGCAATGATAAAACAAACAGCAAACCAGTGCAACCACTGATAATTAGACAAAGCAGCGTCATGTGCCTGTGAGGGTTACAGCCAAAATCAGTACACTGTTGAAAAGCAAGAGAAGGAATAAAGTGTTTAACTTAAATGAAGAATTAAGACAAAGATCTTGCTGGTTAGTATAAACAATTGCACAGTGCATGATTTCTAACCTGAAGGCTTCCTTAATTCTTCTGGTGACAGTGCCTCACAGAAAATGACAGTTTCTCATCTTCACCAGGGAAATATTGGACCTCGAGGAAGAGATGGGGAGCCCGGCATCCCCGGAAACCCCGGACCCGCCGGCCCACCTGGACCACCAGGGCTCGGAGGGGTGGGTTTTCTTGGAACATCTTGGTCTAAATGTAGTGAGAGAGCACAACAGTAAATTATTGATATAAACCACAATCAATATCTTCTATCTTATCAATCAGGAGATTCTTTGTTGAATAAAACGCATGTATGCATGTTTGCAGAAGCTTAGCTGGCTCAAGCAGGATAAACTACATAAACTGACTTTCAGTGTCTGTCTGTTGTGTGTTTTTATAGAACTTTGCTGCTCAGATGTCCCAAGGTTTTGATGAGAAGGCCGGGGGTGCTTCTATGGGTGTGATGCAAGGACCAATGGTAAGTATTACTGTGTATAATCTCTGCCTCTTAAGAGTGTATGAGTACTTTTTGGTATGTAGACAAGTAATCTACCACAATGACATTTAGATTGTCATGGAGCTGCTGCTAAATATAAGCAGTAAAAAGTAAACAGCAAATATTGACTGAGATGATTGCAATGCTGCCACCTTGTGTCTCACTGCAACACAGAGATTTCAGCAGGTCATGTTGCTTCATATTTAATTTTTAACACTTCTCTAAAAATAGTATGTTTGGGTATGAACTACTTTGAACTATGCACTAACAACCATATTCAAAATATATTTATAATTTATAAACCACAGTTTTTGCAAACGTTTTGTTAGACAGATATTTGAAGATGAGAGCAACTTTAAACCCAAGAGATTTGTGTTTTCAAATTTTGGACACCTGAATCCTAATAGCTTTGAATACTGAGTTCAATATTCAAGCCGCCTAACTGGTCACACTATGCTAAAAAAAACAAAAAAACAAACAGATACTGAGTAAACACATTTCTTTTGTGTTTCTCTTGCAGGGTCCTATGGGTCCTCGTGGGCCCCCAGGACCTACCGGAGCCCCTGTGAGTACATACACAGCACAGCATCACTATGTGATTAATCAATATCAACAAACAGCTAATGTGTACACTGTATATATGGAGAGGAATAGTTGGCTTATATGAGTGCATTCCTAATACTTTGCCACTTGTACCTACAGGGGCCACAGGGTTTTCAAGGTGCCCATGGAGAGGCTGGAGAGGCTGGTGCAGCTGTAAGTGTTAATAACTATACCAGACTGCATGTGTGTATTTAACAGACAGACTCCACACTGTACCTGTCACATTTGTTTTACATTTTGGGTTTGTTAGTAGCACTTACTGCCACAAAAACAAATGTATATTTACGTTAACCTTTAAAGCGTAAATGGTCTTATACTTGTATAACGTTTTTCTATGCACCGCAGCACACTCAAAGTGCTTTCAAACTATTTGGCCATTCATCCATTCATACTCCCAAAGATCTACACACCAGTGACATCACAGGAGCAACTGGGGGTTCAGTGTCTTGCTCAAGGACACTTCAACACATGGACTCAAACAGCCAACCTTCCAGATAGAAGATGACCTGCGCTACCTCCTGAGCCACAGTTGCCCTCAATGTTCATTGTTCATTGATATTTATTCTATGCATTTAGTGGATGGACACTGTCCAGGAAGTGTTTCTATATAGCACCACCTGTCTAACTGTCTTTACGTGGAGCAAGTCAGTTAGTATCACTAATGATTTATCTCCCTTTGCTTTACAACAGGGACCATTGGGACCTCGTGGACCACCTGGACCCCCTGGAAAACCAGGAAGTGATGTAGGTGTTAAGGCTCCATCTACATATGAAACCCACTAAACTCATTAAAACATAAGAATAAAACTTAATCCTAGGTAAAAGCAAACCATCATTTTTTAAACAGTAAAAAAATTCTTCTCTCATGCTTTTGTGTATTTCATTGCTGTCATTTCACAATGATTTGGCTCATCCTTCCCTCTGATATGTTCCACTATAAACTATATGAACCACCGGGGGCACCATGAGTCTCAAACAATACTGATGAAAATGATGACTTCACAAAACGCAGGCTGCACACTTACAGTAGCATCCCATCATAATGCAGTGCAGAGCAGCTACAGTTTATCATGATGCTGCTACTTCAACCAATAATTCTTCCACTTCCTGTTTGTTTAGGGTGAGTCTGGCAAACCTGGCAAACCTGGTGAGCGTGGACCTGCAGGGCCTCAGGTGAGTGAAACATTTTTGATCAGTAACTGATTATTTTATATGTAAATGCAAAATAATTTTAGCCACTGCTAACCTCAAGAATATTTCACAAGTTTAATTCAAGAGGACGAAGACAAACGAAATGTTTTTTGTTTTGTTTCAGGGAGCTCGAGGATTCCCTGGAACTCCGGGGCTTCCTGGACTCAAAGGACACAGAGTAAGTGTTTCAGTCTTTACTGCTAAACAGAAGAAGTGGTATAACTACCTGCTCAGTCATGGCATGAGTACTGTTATGTTTCTCTGTAGGGTCATCCTGGTTTGGATGGAGCTAAGGGAGAGTATGGTGCTGCAGGAGCCAAGGTAGGCTCACCACATCATTCAAAGTCCAAATATTCATTACAGTTGTTTCCACTGTTTTTCCAACCTAAATGTCACTGATTTCTGCTCCTGGCAGGGTGAAGCTGGTACCCCTGGTGAGAACGGTGCCCCTGGACCCATGGTAAGTGTGCAGTGCCTTATCTGGTCTGCCGTGATAGTGGCATAAAACAGTAGCAGAGGTTTAGCTGTGATTCTACTCTGTTTCCATGACTTTCTGATTTACTTTTAAGGTTGTGTGAACTAAGGATCAAGATAATATATGTTTATAAATGAAAGTTATTTCACAATAATCAAGATAAAGTGAACTGTATTTTCGGTTATAGGGCCCACGTGGTCTGCCTGGTGAGAGGGGTCGTCCTGGACCTGCTGGAGCTGCAGTGAGTAACAGCATCATATCTGCTTCAGTCTACTGAGCAGAGCTATGTCTCTAGTTTGGTGCAAATTTGAATCTGTTAAAAAGTTCTAATTTCATTTTCTTTTTACTATGAGACACAGAACTGACATTCCTGTCTTCTCACTTTTCAGGGTGCCAGAGGAAATGATGGCTTGTCTGGTCCTGCTGGTCCGCCTGTATGCATCATTGTTCCTACTTTGCATCTAATTCATCCACTTTATTTTTCTTTTAATTAAGGGGCTATTATCACTGATAACAGCAACAAAGCAATGGTTTCACCAGACATAAACTAACCTATAGGTTTTTGTTCTGTCTACAGGGGCCTGTTGGTCCTGCTGGAGCTCCTGGTTTCCCAGGATCCCCTGGAGCCAAGGTTTGTGCAGACTGCTTCATTGTAAATGAATATTTCTCTGGAGTGGACTTTGTGTCTGTAGTTGAAACAATCTTCACTTTAACACTCAGCAAATTCTTCCTGTAGCAGAATCTGATCATTCATAAACCCCCCAAGATTCCTGTAATGATTTTTGATTCTTGTAGTTTTCATGGACAAAAGATCAAGTTCAGTAGTTTATTCTACAAACTACTTTATAATATTCTTGTCAAGAAAAATAAGGTGCATTGTCTTCTCATGTTCAGATGATGTGCTTAAAATAAAAGTGTTTAATTACAATTTAACTCAGACATTTCCTTATCATACATATGGGAACAGAGTGTATTATTGTAGTGTATATGTATAAGAGAAACTGATACCTTTGTACAGAACCACTGGTGTAAAACTTTGTATTATCTTTATCTGTATGAGAAGTACAAATGTTGGATTACAGGTTAAAGAAATGCAAAACAAACTTGTTTTCCCATCTATTAATGGTACCTTTATTGTGTCCTGTCAGGGAGAAGCTGGTCCCACTGGTTCACGTGGAGCTGAGGGCCCACAGGGCCCCCGCGGAGAGGCTGGTACCCCAGGGTCTCCTGGACCCGCTGGAGCATCGGTTTGTTTGTCATCACTCATCCTAATCACCTATAGTTAATCTCAGTTTGCTCCTGCAACAATTATTCATGGTCATTCTTACAGTTACTTTAATATTTATTAATTGCTTTTCATGAACTATTTTATTCTGTGCCTCTGTAGGGTAACCCTGGTACTGATGGTATTCCTGGAGCTAAAGGATCTGCAGTAAGGCTGCTTTATGTTCATAGCTTACTACTATTACTTTATCATTTACAATATTAACATTTTCCCTGATTCTGATATTTTACTGCTTCCTTCTTCCCTAAAGGGTGCTCCTGGTATTGCTGGAGCTCCTGGATTCCCTGGCCCCCGTGGCCCACCTGGACCACAGGGAGCTACGGGACCTCTGGGGCCAAAGGGACAGTCTGTAAGTAAATTGGGAATAATCTAAAACTAAAGTGAGTATGCCAAGCTTGTTTCTTGTTCATGTTATGATTATGTGTTTTTGTGGCTGTCCTCCTTCTTGTCATGTCTAGGGAGACCCTGGTCTTCCTGGATTCAAAGGTGAAGCTGGGCCCAAGGGAGAACTGGTATGTTGCTCAGTTTTGACTTGGTTTCAGTTATTTTTGACTATATAATTCATTATCATTGTAAAACATTTTGTCGAACCAGACACAATTGATTTACTGAGACAGCCTCACTTTCCCAGGGCCCTGCTGGTCCTCTAGGTCCCCCTGGCCCCACTGGTGAAGAAGGAAAGAGAGGCGCAAGAGGAGAGCCTGGAGCTGCTGGGCCTGTAGGACCTCCAGGAGAAAGAGTAAGTAGCCACAATGTACAATAAAATTGTAATAAAATAAAGGTTATGCAAATGAGCTGGTGCTCTTTGATACACAACCTAATCAAAATTGTGTTTCTCTGTGTGTGTGTTTTTTTCAGGGAGCTCCTGGTAACCGTGGCTTCCCAGGTCAGGATGGTCTTGCTGGTGCCAAGGTGGGTCCTGAGTAAAATGGCATTTCTTTAACAGGTCATCAACCCCATTAGCACAGGCGAAATCTGTGCCCTAAGCATTGCAGTATAAAAAGGTTGCTGCAATGATTATGAAACCAACTACCATATTTCTAGCAGACCAATATTTAACAGGCTGATATTTAAAGCTGGTCCCCTTTTGTCTTCTTCAGGGTGCCCCTGGTGACCGTGGTGTTCCTGGTGCTGCTGGTCCTAAAGGTGCTACTGGTGACCCTGGACGCACAGGAGAGTCTGGCCTCCCTGGAGCCAGAGTGAGTCCTATATCTTCACTCATGTCCTACCTAGACAATGTTGCAAAAATATGGTCTTCTTAGTCTTGAACCAGATGAATATTTAGTGTGGTTGGTTTGATGTGAGGGACTTAATTTGACTTTCTGCATTGCTGAGATTTTCCCAAGTTTCTGAATAATCCTGTCGATCTCTAAAAATCTTTTCTTAGGGTCTTACTGGTCGTCCTGGAGATGCTGGTCCTCAAGGCAAAGTTGGACCAACTGTGAGTAGAGTGTTGATCCTTGGATATAAAATAATATAAAGCAATAAAAAAGGTCCAAGCAAAAATACATTTTATCACCACCACAAGTGTGATTTAATATGCTGGTGTCACAAACTGGAACACTTTCATGACAGGGTGTCCCCGGTGAGGATGGTCGCCCCGGCCCACCTGGTCCTCAGGGAGCCCGTGGACAGCCAGGAGTGATGGGGTTCCCTGGACCAAAGGGAGCCAATGTATGTGTGCAAAGGTTTTTATAAAAGCAGTGTGGGAACACTTCACTATTACACACAGCATTTTCATTTTGCTGTTAATATACTCTCAAAATACATCCTTGTGCCAGATTTAAGAAGCCATGTAACACTACTGTCATTAACCTTGTTTCACCTGAAGCTAAACAAACTTTCTCAGATCATTTAATGTGATCGCTCTTCAACAGGGTGAACCTGGAAAACCAGGAGAAAAGGGTCTTGTGGGTCGTCCTGGTCTGAGAGTAAGTGTATTTTACATGCTTCTGAACTTCACATTTGGATGACTCATTTTCTGCCCCCAGATCAGTTTTTATAATGCAAGTGCTTCTCTCTGAACAGGGTCTATCTGGAAAAGATGGTGAGACTGGTGCTGCTGGACCTCCCGGCCCTGCTGTGAGTACTGCAGTATAATTTTATGTTATGAAATGTGTGATAGTCATTATAAATCCATTTCACTTCCTTTTGCCATTGACGTGTTTGGGTCTATCACAGGGACCTGCTGGAGAGCGAGGAGAACAAGGACAGCCTGGACCTTCTGGCTTCCAGGTCAGTCTATTTTCAATTGCTATCAAATCCCTGATACACCTGTCTGCAAAACATATAATAAGCCAATACAGTGTCCACTCTCCAAAACTTGAATAGGAATATATGAGCAGATATCAGTATACATTCAAGCTACAAGAGGAACATGCCTTATAGCATTGGATATCACAGTGTTATTCACGGATAGTCACCCTACAGTCATTTAGTCAAGAAAACAGCAGACTTTTAGGCAATGACTTAGTCTATGTTTACAGACCTGTAACTAATCTCTTTACTGTTGCTGGACAGGGTCTGCCTGGACCAACTGGTGCCCCAGGAGAGGCTGGAAAACCTGGAGACCAAGTGAGTTTTTGTCCAGTCCAACTGGTTTGACATATCTGTAGGTCCATTTTTGTTGACAAACCCCTTCAACCCTATGGACACAGTCTGCAAATATCTTCTTGTACAGGAATATGTCAAGTGATGGTATTTCTAAGTACTCTAACCTTTCTGGTAAAATAACCAGTGGTGGAAGAAGTACTCAGATTGTTTACTTATGTAAAAGTAGTTATACTACAGTGTAAAAATACTCTGTGATAAGTAAAATGTCTTGCATTCAAAATATTACTTAAGTAAAAGTACAAAAGTATTAGTATAAAATATTGTAGCAATGGGGGGCGCCTGGCGGAGTTCCCCCTAAATGGGCCTTTGGGTGGGATGTATTTTAGTTTGGGGTTGGCAGGGATTGTTCTGTGTTCTGGTTGTTGGAGTGGTTGTCCACAAGTGTGTGTGTGAAAACAAAAGGGGAAAAGGTAACTTCTGTCTCTGGCTCCTTCCTCAAGTTAGCCTATGTTACAATAGACTTAAGGTACCAAAAGTAAAAATAGTCATTATGCAAAATGGCACAGTTTACATTGATGTACATTATTTGATTATAATTATTGATATATTATTTAATGTTGCAGCTGGAATTTTACACCAAGAATCAATAAATCTTATGATTGTCCTGTATTTTGATTTAATTAACCTCATTCTAAAAAGTAACTAGTAACTAAATATATCAAATTAATGTAATGAGTACAAAGTACAATATTTTTCTCCAAAGTGTAGTGAAGTCGAAGTACAAAGTAGCTGAAAATGAAAATACTTAAGTAAAGTACAGTAAGTAAATGTACTTAGTTACTTTTCATCTCTGGAAATAACAATATACGACATCATAGCTAAGAGACAACTGTACCATGTGGTTATAGACATAATAAAGGCTGTAAATGACAAGTAGAAATGGCCATTGGCGCCGTTCTCTGTAGCAACAAGAAGAGGCCACTTCCATGCTGAATGCTAATCACCAGAGAGCTATTAAACACAATCGAAACATGCACACCATATTTATACAAGTTACAGCGACTTGTCAACCACACAAATCTTCTAAAAAAATTCTATATATGATTAAAAATATCCAAGGTTAATCTCAAACACCCATATCTAACATCAGAAATATTTAGATATTTGTTTGTATGTGTAATTACACCAGAAGCTGGAATAAAAGTGTGTATCTTTGCTCTTTGTAGGGTGTTCCTGGAGAGGCTGGAGCTCCCGGTGTTGTTGGACCTAGAGTGAGTCTAAATGTTTAGGATTCTTGTCTTTATGTCCCAAAAAAATCTAAGTGAAGAGTAATATACACACAGCCAGGTATATCTTCTATGTAGTGCTCTCATTTACAGTTCATACATGCATATTATGATTCATTAACATTTTTGGTTTTGTACAGTACATGAAAGCCTTGAATTAATCAATCTAACAAGCACGTTGTCTTCCTCACATCACAAAACTGAGCAGTACCTGCCATTTCCTGTTTCTCCCACTGATGCAAACAGGGCGAACGTGGTTTCCCTGGTGAGAGGGGTGGGGCTGGAGCTCAGGGTCTTCAGGGACCACGTGGACTTCCTGGAACCCCTGGAACCGATGGACCCAAGGTAAACAGGACTTGTAAACAGAATTAAGATTCAAATTATTGCTTAACATCCTCTAGTATCCTCTACACCAGGTGACACAAAAGCATCTCACTTATTTAGCATGTCAATTAAACAGGTTGACAGATGGCAGGATTCATGGCTGTAATTCCAGAAGACCTAAAAAGCCCAAAGGTCATTTTCAAGAAATGGAACTTTCTTGTTCAAAAGAACAAACACAATGCTTGTTCATATTTTCTTAGCAGTTTCTAAGGATTTCTTGTCTGGGTGCAATAACCTCGTGTTGCTTGACAGTCTCAATGTAATGACAAATCAAGTGCATTTTTATTTGTATGACCCAATATCACACATTAATTTGCCTTAAGGAGCTTTAAAATCTGTAGCATGTACAACACCTTCTGTCTTTTAATGGGGGACAAAAGGTAGACAAAATCACAGGCAGAGCAATAGAGGAAACATCCCTCTTCCACGATGGACAGACAAGACTCCAGAGGTCACTGCACCCAGCCAAGACGTTTTTCTGGACTTAACCAGTAAAACAATACTTCAGTTTTTGTACCAGTTTTACAAATGAAATATATTGTGTTAATTAGTGACCTTTAAAGGTGCTTTTAGGTGGATTATATTATTGTATCTTTGGACAGGACCAGGCTAGCAGTTCCCTCTTGCCTCCAGTCTTTATGCTAAGCTAAGCTAACCAGCTGCTGCTGGTAATTGACTATTTAACTGACAGACATGTGAGTGGAACTGATCTACTTTTGCAAAGAAAAATACAGAAACCTTCCCAGTCTGCTTTTACTTGGTGGTCTTGTTGAACATGAACATGCAGCTTTGGTTCTGAGATATGACATAAAGAAACCTTTTTGACAGCTTTTATAAAATGATGTATGTATGATAAAAGACCTTTGGCATTATCAGTGAAAAAGAAAACCAGCATGTCCACACTCAGGTTAAATTAGTTCATATGACATAAAAACATTAGGCTAACAAATGATCTCCTAACACTGATTCAGGGAGCCATTGGGCCAGCTGGTGCTCCTGGACTTCAGGGACCCCCAGGTCTTCAGGGTATGCCTGGAGAGAGAGGAGCTGGTGGCATCCCAGGACCCAAGGGAGACAGAGTGAGTAACAGATTGTTTTTAATGCTATGGAATGCTCCATGAGAGAAATGCTCCATTTAAATAGACCAGAAGCCTCATAGCTTCATACATGCAGCTGTCTTCTCTATCCAACAGGGTGACAACGGACAGAAGGGACCTGAGGGAGCTCCTGGAAAGGATGGTGCTAGAGTAAGAAAAAAATAAACCACTGCTCTCTTATTTTTAAGTGTATTATTACAGAGTGAAGTTTTTTTTAAGCAGTCATCAGACAAAAATATTTGATCTCATCCAAAATCTTTTCTCTTTGTTTCTGTCTTATTTCTAAGGGTTTGACTGGTCCCATTGGTCCTCCTGGTCCAGCTGGACCCAATGGTGCTAAAGTAAGAATAACAGTTCTAGCTGCAGGATTGTTAAGTGGATGATTATGAGCTGAGTTTAAATGAACTAGGGTTGTGCTTATTTTAACAGTATTGTATGTTAATTTGGCTGGTTCCCTCCTATTCAGGGTGAGACTGGACCTAATGGACCTAGTGGTGCTCCTGGTGTTCGTGGTGCTCCTGTAAGTATCTCTTTTTGTCATATGCTGAGTGTCATATCTATGTGTCACAGCATGCAGAATACACCAAAACCAATCAGCTGGTCTTACTCTAGCACCGATCACCTCGGCTGTGACCTGGAGCTCATAATAGTGGAGCCGTCTTTACAAAAGATCTAACAGCGGAGTGAGGAGTATGCATATTTTAATATTTATCCATTTTGTACTTTGACAAAAACATATTTGCATTCTCTACAATTTTTTCTAAAAATCATAAGACACTTCCATAATGTTTCATATTTAACTTAAGACCAGATTGACTAGAAACTCTGCTATAAGGAGAATTATAATGTTTAATTGTAGTTAGTGAAGTCTCAAGCGAAACAGCGTCCTGCACAGAGGATAATGCTGCTCACACAGTAATTACACTGAACTGATTTTGTACAGTGTAGTGACATTGCTAGTAGTCAATTAGTAGAGTGTTTATTGTCATGTGCACAGTTAGGAAACGTGTTTCCCTGTACAATGAAATTCTTACTTTGCCGTCCACATGAATGCCACAAAATACAAATGAAATAAAAAGTAGATAAATAAGTAACACAAAAACTAAATCACAAAATCTAAAGCACTTTAAAACAGCCATTGACTATTAAACTCATATTAGAACAGAGTGAAACTTTGTCTCTCTCTACAAAATGTTTCTATTCATAACTTTGAGAAACAAATGGATGTTTTGGCCTTAGAAACACCGACTAACATAGCAAGAGATGAAGTTGGGAGGGAGAGTTTTTGTATTTTTTCCTAAATGAACAAAAGCCAATACATGTAGTGTTAGAGAGTTTTGAAATAAAAACTAAAGACAAACAGCATCAGTATCTCCACCCAAGCTTCCTCTGACCAACCGTCTCTTCTGTCCTCTTTGCAGGGTGACCGTGGCGAGATCGGTCCTCCCGGGCCTGCAGGCTTTGCCGGACCTCCTGTAAGTAAAGTCAAAGCAATATCTTTTGTTCAAATGAGATGCTGGAAAAATGCATTTTTTAATTTCCATCTATACAAATTCTGCTGCTATAACTGCTCTGATTAAAATATTCAGGGTGCAGATGGTCAGCCTGGTGTCAAGGGAGAGTCTGGTGAGGCAGGACAGAAGGGAGAGGCTGGTGCTCTTGGACCTCAGGGACCATCTGGGGCCCCTGGACCAGTGGTGGGTATTTGATGTGAAAATAATGATGTCAAACCACATCTATATACAGTATCTTTGGTCACATCTCTGGATCAAATTTTACTCACAATGGGGACACATCATGCATGAGTATTAACAGAGCTTTAAAGTCAGTGCAGCATAATTCAAACAGGATTAACTACTCTTCATCTTTTTCAGGGACCTACTGGTGTATCTGGACCTAAAGGAGCTCGTGGTGCTCAGGGAGCTCCTGTAAGCAAATCATTTTGATACTTTATCACATGAACAAACCACTGTACAGCTCTTCAGCTGACTGCTCATACAGACTCACCACTTACATATGCATTTTAGAGTTCTAGTCAATCAGTAAATCAAACTGTTGGTGGACATGAAAATCTTTCACTTGAATTGCATAGATCATTGATAGAGCTGGCCCTCTTTATTACCAATTCAATGAGCACAGCAGGGATGCCTTGGATACTAACATAATGCAATACATGTTTACTGGGGAGCTAAGCATCAAACAGCCTAACACCACCTTCAGAGATGTTCTTGAAACTTTTAAAGTGCCTGAGTCTGTGCATCTGAAAAGCCCGTGGGACAAATCTGGCCCCCCAACTAAAATTTTTGGTGACACGATTAAGATTTTTAAAAAAAAAAAACCTTTATACGGTTTACAAAACAAATCTACTCAAGATAACAATATGCATATAAGGTTCATGTAAATAATGATCTACAGGTGGCACTGCAAGAGAAATAACATGCTGATTTTTTTTAAAGACAACAATAACAATATTTTCATTAAACAATAAATAAAAGAGGCCACTGCTACCCGATCTGTACCAGAAACAGATTGCTTGTGTGTAACATACTTGGCCAATAAAGGTGATTATCCTTATTCTTATCCTAAATCTATCGCCTTGTAGTGCAGCACAGGACAATCATCTTTTGCCAAATAGGTATTATGTAACATAAGCTGGTGTAAATGCTGTTTAAAATTTTCCATTGAATTCAATGGAAAAGTGCCCAGACTTTTGATTGGTAGTATAAAATCTATTTAATTCTTATATGAATTTAAATAATACTCAAAACCTAGTCCTGCCTCTTCACCACACTTGTTAATCTATGTTGGTTCCCTATTGAAAAAAAGAGCCATAGCAGAACCAGATTGCTAATCCCTTCACTTTAGTTTATTCACATATATGACTATGAAATTCCTAACTAGTATTTGTTGTATCCTTCCCGGTAATGGCACAACATCCTAATTAACACCATAGTGGTTGTTGATGGTGTGAAAGGTTTACTGAACTCCAACTCTTTCTGACAGGGTACACCTTAGTGGTTGTTGATGGTGTGAAAGGTTGACTGAACTCCAACTCTTTCTGACAGGGTGCCACTGGTTTCCCGGGTGCTGCTGGCAGAGTTGGACCCCCTGGTCCTAATGTGAGTATTTCATCAATAACTAATTCCAAGAAGACATGCGTTTTCTGAGTCAGTCTAAAATTACTTTTACGTTTGTGTTTCTCTGCCCTTACTTACTTAAATTCTCTTTCTTCCCATCACAGGGTAACCCTGGCCCTGTTGGTCCTCCTGGTGCTGCTGGTAAAGATGGACCAAAGGGTGCTCGTGGTGATGCCGGCCTCCCAGGGAGACAGGGAGACACTGGGCTCCGTGGACCTCCTGGCCTGCAGGGAGAAAAGGGAGAGACTGGAAAGGATGGAGAACGTGTGAGTGTGATTTTCACACAATTTCACACAAATCTTTTAGTGCTTGTTATTGGAGTCAATGACAGCAAATCTCTATCAGTCTCATCGCCCACAAACAAAAGGAGTAAAAGGAATACAAGCATGTACAGCTACATCAGAACAGTTCATGACACTGTCTTCTCCCTCCTGGTGCTATAGGGTGGTGATGGGCCTCCAGGCCCTCAAGGTCTGGCTGGAACCCGTGGTATTGTTGGTTTGCCTGGTCAGCGTGGAGAGAGGGGATTCCCTGGTCTCTCTGGACCTTCTGTAAGTGACTTCTAGCTCATAGCTTCCATGTACGCTGAAAGTTTTCAGGGTCAAATCATTATGATTTCCAAAGCATCTGCCTGACATTTGGTGGTCACTTAACATTTTCACAGATTCATTTAATTTTCTCAGACAGGACTCAGGATCAAATTTGAGGTGTATACTTGTTAGAGAATTGACACAAATACAGATTCACTGAAAGCCAGATGTGATTATTCCGGGTCAAAGGAACTACTGAATGTAAAAACATGTCAGCAGTTATACAAACTGAGTTTTCAGACATGAAAGATAAACCCACCTAACTTTTTTATGAGTAAATGTACTGTTAGGCCAGTGTACTATATGACAATAACATCATACGACATTTCTCTCTGCATTTAGGGAGAGCCGGGTAAACAGGGAGCTCCCGGTTCTGCTGGTGAACGTGGTCCTCCTGGGCCTGTAGGACCCCCTGGACTCACAGGACCTGCTGGAGAGCCTGGTAGAGAGGTCAGAACTAAACAACAGTAACAATAACAACAAAATGTCAAAACATCAGTTATGTATCCATTTGTCTGATTGTGTGAACAATGACTGCAGTAGCAGTCAGGTTGAAATGCCATGGGTTCAAAATATGTTTCTGTGTGTCAGGGTACCTCGGGATCAGATGGACCTCCTGGTAGGGACGGAGCTGTTGGAGTCAAGGTGAGAAACTCTGGACGTAGTCTAACAAATCATGATATCTGACAAAAAAAAAAACCTATTAGATTAGCTAGTTGTCAGAAGCTTATCCTGAGTCATCACCTTGCGTCCTCCTGTAGGGGGAGCGAGGAAACACTGGTCCTGCTGGTGCCCCTGGAGCTCCTGGTGCCCCTGGATCCCCTGGACCTGTTGGACCACTGGGCAAGCAGGGAGACAGAGGAGAGTCTGTAAGTAAAACACTGTAGGATCCCCAGGAAAAGGCACAGTGCTGAACACTGGTTCATATTTTTAATCTTAACACGAGGAAGCACCCACAGTTTCATTTCTTTCCTTAGGGTGCTCAAGGACCTGCAGGACCCGCCGGACCTGCTGGCGCTAGAGGAATGGCTGTGAGTATCATAATTTCTACCTGCAACTATATCATTAAGTTTTTTTTAGATTTTTAATTTGGGTTTGTTAATTAAACACTAACCAGATGCAACCATGAATTTTAATACATGACATAAAACCTTTACTCCAGGGGCCCCAAGGACCACGTGGAGACAAAGGAGAGACTGGTGAGGCTGGAGAGAGGGGACAGAAGGGTCACCGTGGCTTCACTGGTCTGCAGGGTCTTCCTGGACCTCCTGTAAGTAATCCAGATCTAACAGTTTACACACGCAATTTCATTTTTCATCTCTGTTTTCTGTTAATGAATCTGTCTCTTTCCTTGTCCTAACAGGGTCCCGCTGGAGATTCTGGAGCTGCTGGACCTGCAGGACCAAGTGGTGCTAAGGTGGGAAAACTGAGCAAAAGCAAGAAAGAGAATAAAAATTCTTATTACATTTACATTTTTCCACTTTAACATCCAAGATATGTGATGGTAATGAAGGGCACAGGTTAGTCCTTTTGTAAATTCTTCCATCACCTGAAAAAGATTGGGGACATAAAAAGGCCACATGCTTTAATTACACACCACTGTGATAAGAAGGGCAGCTGAGGCATTTTGTAATTATTCTGTATAAGGAAAAGGGCCAGACAGAGAGGGGAGGCCATGATTTGTGAAACCACACCAGTTGAGATAGGAAGTGGACTTCAATATTTAGATTAGTTAAGCACTGTGGAAAATGTCACGAGACAAATAACCCCCCTGCATAATAAGGCAAAAGACCTGGAAATTATTGTGCTAGACCTGTCCAGGGTGGTCCCCAGCTCTCGCCCAGTGTCAGCTGAGTTAGGCTCCAACCCCCCCGTGACCCTATTCAGGAATAGGCAGTATAGATAATGAGTGGATGGATGGTTGGTTTTGCTATTAGAGAAAAAACTGCTGCTGCATTTGAATTTCTTTACAATAGCCACTATAGATTTACACTTTGAAAAGAAAGCATAAGTTGAATACATAATTTTTTATATTTACATCAATTGATTTTTATTTTAACTTAAAATACATACACTGTGTTTGTAGGGACCCCCTGGACCAGTCGGACCTGCTGGCAAAGATGGATCTAATGGACAGCCTGGGCCCATTGGACCCCCTGGACCTCGTGGACGGTCTGGAGAAACTGGTTCTGCTGTATGTAACATGTTCTAAAAAAATTAAAGCTACAACCAACTCATGCCTACCAGTATACTGTATACTGTACCATTTTAATGCTAAACCTGATTGTACATGCCCTCCCGAGCCATATCCTGCTTTTGCCCCTCCTTCAGGGTCCTCCTGGTAACCCCGGACCCCCTGGTCCTCCTGGTCCACCTGGCCCCGGCATTGACATGTCCGCCTTCGCTGGTCTGGGTCAGACTGAGAAGGGCCCCGATCCTCTGAGGTACATGAGGGCTGATGAGGCCTCCACCTCCCTGAGGCAGCATGATGTTGAGGTTGATTCCACACTCAAGTCCCTCAACAGCCAGATTGAGAACCTGCGAAGTCCTGATGGCTCCCAGAAGAACCCTGCTCGCACTTGCAGGGACCTGAAACTGT